CAATTGGATCAAGAACTTTCCCGAAGTTCGTCATGTCAACGAATGAAACAAGACTTTCATCAGTGATACAATGATGGAAATGCTGAGAAAGCACAGGGTTGTGTGTTGTGTTGGTGATCTTGCTCTTGAAGGTCCAATTATTGCTATTGGATAAGAATCGACGGGGATCGTGACTGTATTTATTTTGTGAATGATTACTTTTTCTTCGCCAAATATGTTTCATCAATTCAAGGAAAGTTTATCCAACCTTATTTGTTGATGCATTGAATACTTTGTATTTTTCAGATTACTGTTATGACAGCATTTACCTATTTGATCCAAATAAATTTTGCAAAAGTGATCGATTAATTTTGAGAGGATTAAAGATTCCGAACGGTTCTTTTATGTTTGCGTTGATATTTGTATTGACAAAGATATTATATCTATGGAGTGAAAGATAATGCATTATTTATTGTCGTTTTGATCGAACTAATCTTTCAATTTTCAGGGAGAATGGGGGAACTTCCATTTGAGATGCCCGATATTCGTAATTTCCCGATGGAAAAGCTTTGTTACGATTTGAAGTTGGAAATCTTGGAACGAATGGATCCCAAGGACATCATTGAATTGATGAAGAGTAACAAGAAATTCCGCGCGATCCTCATCAATCGACCGTGGATGATTTTTGGCGAACATGTACATTCGATAATTTTCCGCCCAATGCACATTGTCGAGATCAAGAAACACCCGGGCTCTTCGATTTTCATCGATCTCCGTTGCGAATCAGTTCTCTTGAAGAGAATCACAAGCTGCGTTCAGTTTATCCGAAGAGATATCGAGAGTGATGTCGAAAAAGAGACAGCATTGGAAATTCTCGAAAAGTTGGGTTCTGTTGGGGAAATCCAAATGATGTTGGACAATTCAGCGATGCGCCAGCATTTTGCCATCTTCAAAGGAAAGGTGACCGAGCGAATCTTTTTGGATCTCACTTGGTACACGTGGAATATGGACAATGAAAGTAATCGCTACCTGACGAACCTCTTCGAAAGTCAGCTTGAAAATTGCAAGGAGATTTCGATGAACGGACATGGAAGCCAATTCTACTTCCTTCGGCAGTTTCTTCTGAAAACAAACGTCAGGATGATTGCGTTCACTGTTGCTGAGGAACAATCTTCTGACCAGAAGTCAGCGGATCTCGTAGCCGGTTGGATAGCCAGCAGGGGGATACCGAGTCGAAATCAATACCCTTCAATCTTGCTCACATTCACGCCAAACAACCCGCTCGGTAATTTCCTCGCTGCAACTCCCGGACTGCAACGAATTGGAGAGTTGAGCTCAATCAGTGAAACTCGAGAATTGATGAACGAAATGTGCAAAAAGTACCCGATTTCAGACTGTTACTACATGTCCGTGAAGTTTCTCGAGGTCTACAAGCAGAAGATAGACGATGAACGCGATTGTATCTACGTCATTTCGACGTTTGAATCTAGATATGGCAGCAGTGCACGTCTGCAGTTCTTTGCCAAATACGTGCCCGCTGAGCAGGAGCCAAAAAGGATGGAATGAAAAAATTACTTGCCTAAAACAAATTACAAAAATTATTTGCCAAATTACTCTGATTAGATTTTTTTGTTAATTTTTGTTTCTCTTGTTGTTATTCTGAATTTTGGTTTGGATGTTATAAATTTTTTACTTTGAAAGCGTTTTAATTCGATTCGTGGTCAAATGAACCATTGAAAATTTTGTTTTGGATCTTTCACCTGTATATATGTTTTTATGGTGAACAAAATTTTGTTGTCAAAGTAAAATAGTTGGATAAATTCTAGTTATCGATTGATTTAGATATAAATTCAACTACTTTAGCAACAAAATTTTCCCAATCGAACTAATCTTTGAATTTTCAGGTAGAATGGTGAAACTTCCGCTCCCACTACCGAATCTTCGCAACTCCCCAATAGTCAAGCTTTGTTACGATTTGAAGTTGGAAATCTTGCAACGAATGGATCCAAAGGACGTCATCGAATTGATGAAGAACAACGTGAAATTTCGATCGATTCTCATCAATTGGCCATGAATGGAGGTCGGAGAACACGTCGTTTCGATCATCTTTCGTCCAGGCTACGTTGTTGAGACGAAATTGTCGCGGATGTTTGATCTCCGTTTTGAAATTCCCTCTTCAAAAAATGATCTCGGAAATGCTCGAATGTTTAGCTTCGGTTCAGGAGATCAGACCCGTCAAAGACTATGAGGCTCTTTGCAAATACTTGTTGATATTCAAGGGAAGCATCGTCAGTTGAGTTCATTTGGATCTCATTTGGTATCAATGGAAGGAAGATGATGAGAATTATCGCTTTCTGAGTAACCTATTCCAAAACAGGATCAACAATTGCAAGTTCTCGTTGAAAGGACGTGGTGATGGGATTTAATTTTTTACAAGCTTATTCTGGAAACGAAAGTCGGAATGATATTTTTTAATGTCATCAATAAGCCACTCCGAAGGTGATTGGTTGGATTGTCACCAACAGGGGGTGCTTTACGGTTAACGGGGGCCAAGTTTTTGGCCAATTTGCAGCTCATTTTTAACCACCTTAAGGTTGTCAGATCAGGAAGTTTTAATAAGATTTAGATAGCTTAGAACGTCAACTTTTAGAAACTATGTCTTCCATCAAAAGTTGTTAACAAAAACCTATCTAAAATCGGGCTTCAAAATGGCCAAGAACTCGCCCCCGCTCCCGAATTCTATGGCTCATGTGATTTGACCAGCCTATCCAGTTGACCTTCCCTTGTGAGTCTGGCAATTGGAACTCGAGTTTGATTGTACTAAGCTTTTAGATGAATCCGGAAACTTATTATTACTTTAATAGCATCCGATCTGACATCTAGCATTAAACGGAACGTTGTACTAAGATTTTTTTTACGTTTTAAGATGTCGGATTAGTTTTTGTGAGTTTATAAACGTTTAAATCTTTAAATTTATTTTCCAACTGCAATAGATTGAAGACAAAAATGGATTAATAAAAGTTTTTGATGAAGAGATTTCAATTTCAATATTCAAAGCCAAGATTCAGATAAGCAATTCAGAAAAGCAAAATAATAACGAAATTTTTCTCAAAATTAGAATTTCCAATACTCAAAAGCTCACAAAACTTGTCAAAGGTTTACCTAGAAAAAAATGGAAACACCAAAAGAAATCAATGTCGATGTGAAATTCGATGGAAAAATAAGAAAATTTTGCTAAACAACAGAAATGACATGATTGGAAACATTTTTTGGGGCTGAAAACGGAAAATTATGTAGAAAATGAGTGAAAATTGGGGTTTTGCTTATCAGATCGTGAAAGGGTAAGAAGAAAAATTGGATATTTGCAATTTTGTTTTCTAAACCGTGCCTTCTTTCTCTTTCTACCGTAATCTTGTCTCATTTTTTATTCAATTTATCCACTTTTATGGTCGTATTCTGCGAGTTGTTCACAGGGATATCGAAAGATACAAAAAGTGAATAGTTTGGATAAAAATTGAGACAAGATTACGGTAGACGACGACCAAAAACCTATTCAGTGAGGCTAAACTCTGGATAAGCTACCCTAATCTGGCCTGGTTTTTTAAATCTGGCGTAAATCTTTCATAAATTGTATTCAAAAGTTTGCTTCTGTTCTGAAAGCTGAGAAATTACACAGAAAGTAGACTTGAGTCGTGAAAAAAGGGGAAAGGGGATACGCTCTAGGAAACGGTTTAGGAAAAGGTTTAGGAAACGGTTTAGGAAACGGTTTAGATGAGAGCTAAAACAGGGTTATTCCAGAAGCCGAAAGTCATCCTAGTCTTTTGCTTTGTTTTGGTCAAAGCGGAATTCAAAACTGAATTTGAGTTGGCCCAAAGCCAACCTTTTGCTTTAACTTTGGCTTTGCTGACTTAAGAAAATTGGTGTCAGGGGAAGAGTTTTGTAGCATCAACTCTAATCATTACTGGTCGACGAATGCTCGATTTCGGCAGCTGAATGACTCTCGGTCTCGAGGAAAACCGATGATTTCTGTCGTCGTTCTCGGCCGAGTGAATGACGACGTTGTTCCCATCTAGAAAATGGATAATCTACAGTTATAGCGCATAATTATAGGTGCAGTGGCTTATCATCTATTATTATTAACTATCTAGTTCTCCTGGAAGCTGAAATTTTGCTCTTAGTACAAAAGCATTTCAAAAATCAAATTTAGTCATTTCGAGAAGACGGGGCTCCGGCTCACAAAGCCAATAAGGTTCAAGGTTTTTATAAAATGAAGTTTCACAATTTCATCTCTTTTTCTGAAGCTCACCGGATCTCAATCCGATGGATTACTCTGTCTGATCCATCTTTGAAACAAAAGCCTACTCAAAACTGCATAAAAATTTTGAAAGTTTGAAGAAAAGTCTTGTGAAAGTCTTGGATAAACTATGATGATGCTTACTGGATAAACTATGATGATGGTCGCCACTAGAAATGGGAAAATTCCAACGCGAACCTAATTCCACCTTCGTTTTCTCGGCCTTTTCTTGGCCGATTGCTCTGAAATTTTGTCTACAAGCTGAGAATGTTGATTTCTATCTGTAGGCAAAATTTCAAAGCAAGAGAACGATGGTGGAATTAGGTTGAGGTTGGAGTTTTCCCCTGTCTAGTCGCCACCGTGGACGCCTTTACTAAACGCTTGACAGTGTGCTCGGCTAAAAATATTGCTCGCTTTGAATTTAATTCTTAATTTGCTGTTGATTGATATCAAATAAAGATTTTAAAACAAAAGTTTGCTGTTTAAAGTTTAAAGTTTAATTTTTTCTACCTACAAAGCTTTTTATCTGCACCTATAATTATGGGCCACTCTGTACAATCGTTCTAGGAGTTCTAGAGCTTTCACTTTTCTTTCAGTTGCTTTATAGCAATCTAAGAGCCTTGATTTTCCAGTTTACCGTACTTGTTTGATCTGTGAAAAGAGCTTTTCTATGAAAAGCTTGAGGACTTTTCTATGCAAAGCTTTAGAGCTTTTCTATTTTTTCTCACCTTACGGCTTTCCCAATCGTTTTCCCAATTCTTCTTCCAACGGAAAGACTTTTGATAGGATTCGGCTCATCGTCGACGAAACGAGCGATTGGAGCTGGAGAAGCCAATGGGGATGGTGGGATTTTATGGAACTGAACAATTGATTGCTTAAAAAATACAGAATAGCGAGTTTTACTGGTGTAAATTGAGACTGGGTTGGTTCTGAAAGCGTTTTCTCAGAGTCAACTCAAAAAAACAGTCCTCTTCATTTCAAAATTTGGGCAATTGAATGAAAGCTGGTGGTTGGGTGATAGCTTTCTTTCTTCTTTCTTTTTTTCTCTTAACAATTTAAGGTATTGGATAGCTCAGTGGTTAGAGCGATCGCCCGGGAAAGAAGAGGTCGAGGGTTGAATCCGATCTCCGAAAATCTACTTTTCCTTGCAAATTCCTTTACTTCTTTATTACGGTAAACGGTTTGAGATTTGAGAAAATGGATTATTTGAGAGGAAAATGCTCAATGAATCTCGTAGAGTCATTAAAACTCATTGTAATGAGACTAACCGGTGGTGCCGTCATGGGCGCTGATGGCCATCTCATCGCCGGTAATGGGGATCGGCCACGGCGTCGGCGTCGCGGTTTCTTTAACATGTTTGCCTGAAAAAAAAGAAATGGCTAATTGAATTAGTTCCATTACTTCTAACTTGCTTCAAATCTGCCGGATTGACATGATCTATAGCACATGGGCACTATAAACTACAAAAATGACGACCTCTCAACAATAAAACGCTTCTAACTTGCTCCATAACTGTCTGATTGAGACGATCTATAGCTCAAAAAGTAGAGAACCTCAAGAATGAACACTATGACTCAACTCAACTTTCGAATGAACTAAAGTATACCAAAAATGATTGCTTCTAAAGAAAGTTATAGCCGAAACCGACCGTCGAAGCTACAAAACAATATAACTTTCTTTAGAATCAACATTTATCGGTGTACTTTGGCTCATTCAAAAGCTCTTGAAATTCTCTATCTTTTGAGCTATAGATCGTCTCAATCAGACAGTTATGGAGCAAGTTAGAAGCGTTTATAGTTTCCGTTTCTAATTTGTAGTGCCAATGTCTATTGTGCTAGTAAAGATTTGCAAAATTTAGTAAATTTTCAAATTCAAATTTAAATTCAATCCAAAATTGACATTTCATTCTAAAGCTGAAGGGTAATTGTAAAAATTTTTCGTAAATTTTTGCTAGCTGCAATTTTTTGAGAGTCCTTAAAGTGAAAATTGACTTTTTCAATGTAATTTCGTTTTTTTTAGCTAATTTGAGCCTAATTTGAGCCAAGTTTGAGCTAATTTTGTTAAAATTTTGTTATTTTTTGTTATCTTTTGTTAATTTAGCGTTTTTTTAGATAGCTTTACTCGAGAAGAGCCACAAAAAATAAAAAAACAAAAAAAAATCGGCAAAAATGAAACCAGAAGAGAAATTCGATACTTACAAAAAAGAAAATTCAAGAAAATTTTCGAAAATAGACTACTGGACAATGAAATATCATATTTGAAAAAACACTTTCGCACTTTCGCGCGTCTGTAACTCCCTTGTCTTTACCGTATTTCTAAATATTAATATTACCATCGTGTAGCCCTTGAAAAGAGCTTTCAGAGAATGTATAACACTAATAGTTTAAACCCAAAGACAAGGGAGTTACAGACGCGCGAAAGTGCGAAAGTGTTTTTTTCAAATATCATATTTCATTGTCCAGTACTGTAGTTCTAGTTTTGTTTTTTTTTTTAAATCGAAATCGATCATAGAAATAGAAATAGAAATAGAAATAGAAATAGAAATAGAGAAATAGAGAATTTTCGCTCAGCCACAGAAGAAATGCGATGATGCACAAAAGCACACACAAACACACGGCCGAGATGGGTAGCGAAGGGAAATACGGCTTGAATTTGGATCTTTTGCAAATGCGATTAAGTCTACAGTAATCCTGGAGGTCACACTATAAAATAGAGTAGTTTATAGGGAAAAAACTGGCGATTTTTTCTTGACGAGTTTCTGCCGAGATATAATGCACCCTCGCTACAGTAGCCGTTTCCCGTCAATGCCCAACTTTTTATAAGATTTATATTTATATAATTTGCATATAATAAAACTAAAGATTCACTTGGATCAATTGGCTTTTTAGTTTTTAAACAAAAAAAACAAGAAATCACAGAACACCGGGACGAAAAAAATGAAATAAAACGGGTTGAGGGTTTTGAGAAATTTGGAATTTGAATTTTTTTTGATTAATTTTCATTTCAATGCATCAAATGCCTTCCAGGATTTCGATTTTTAAAGGAAAATTGGCTTTTGTGTAGTTTCCGAGTATTTTGAACGGTTCGTCACTCTTTAAAGGCCTATAACTTTGTCTAGAGATTGGATTTTTATTAACTTTTTAAATCATTAGATAGAGAACATTTCAGCCTTCAAATGATACCAAATAGAGCTTGATTGGGTAATCGAGTCAAAGAAAATCAGAGCCAACTCTGAGCAAAGGAGGCAAATGAGGCCTATCCAACTCGGGTATCTTGTCGCCTTGTTTGCAAAGGGATGCAAAAACCGAATCAAGTTCTATTTGGTATCATTTGAAAGCCTGAAAGGTTCTCTATCCAATGATATAAAAAGTTAATAAAAATACGATCTCTAGACAAAGTTATAGGCCTCTAAACCAAAGACAAGTTGTCATGCACTTAGCCAAGACTTCAACTCACCCCCTCCTTCTCCTCAATTTCTCCAAAAACTCTCGATCATCAACAGCATTATCTTGTACATGATTTCCACTAATTGCACTTGGTATATTTCAGGCTTTCAAATAATACCAAATAGAGCTTGAGCGGATATTTCATTTCTGTGCAAACAAGGTGACAAGATACCCGAGTTGGATAGGCCTCATTTGCTGAGAATTGGCTCTGCTTTTCTTTGACTCGATTACCCAATCAAGCTCTATTTGGTATCATTTCAGGCTTTCAAATGATACCAAATAGAGCTTGATTCGGCTTTTGCATTCCTTTGCAAACAAGGCGACAAGATACCCGAGTTGGATAGGCCTCATTTGCCTCCTTTGCTCAGAGTTGGCTCTGATTTTCTTTGACTCAATTATCCAATCAAGCTCTATTTGGTATCATTTGAAAGCCTGAAATGTTCTCTATCGAATGATCTAAAAAGTTAACAAAAATCCAATCTCTAGACAAAGTTATAGGCTTTTAAAGAGTGACGAGCCGTTCAAAATCCCCGAATTTTTCCCGAAATACGAAATCTCCAGATTCTTTCAAGATACCCGTAAAATTTCCGGAAAATACCCAAAAGAGCCGGAGAAATTGATCGCATTTCGCAATTGATCGCAAGAAATAAAGATTCAATTGGATATTTTGAGAAAATTTTTGGGTAATTTTTGGATTTTTAGCTGAGATTTGTTATTGAAAATGAAAATTTTCAAAAAAAATTTGCTTAAAACCCTCTCTTTTCTTATGATCGGATTGGAAATATCAAAAATTTACATCAAAGAAAAAGGAAAATCGGTTTTTTTAACTTAGATTAGTCGATTTTCAATGAAAATTTGAATAGAAATGTAAAATCGCAAAATCCTAATCTAGAAAAACGCAAAAAAAAAAGAAAAATCGTATCGGCAAGAGATTTGTACAAGAAAAAAAACGCCTAGAAGAGAATAAATCTCAAGAAAAGTGCAAAAAAAGGTATTTATTTAAAAGTCTATTTGAATATTTGAGTTTCTATAAGCTGGATGAGTTACCGTAACCCGAGATTTGAAATTGACAATTTGAGATTTATAAAGCAACCCTAGTCTGCAGTGATCTCCAGATGGAACAAATCAATTCAAAAATTGCCTTGTTTTCTTAAAGCTGACCCTTTTATAGTAGTCCGAAAGTTTCTTTGCCTTTGCTAGCTTGGAAAATCCACCGTAACCCTTCCTGCTATCCAACTTATAGAACCACAACAAAAGTACGCTTGAAAAACATCGGATTCCTTAGCGGCTTACTTAGTAAGTACAAGTGGGAGTACGAAAACGAGACAAAACACAGGAATTGTCTTGGAAATTGAATAAACAGATGATCTGGCAAAATTTGTGAATTGCTAAAAAGTGGACAAGTTACAGTAAGATTGGGGCAGTCGTTTTTGATTCGGAGCAATCGGACAAGGAAAAATGACAAATGAATGAATGAAATGTATCGGAAACGTTAGTGTTTTAGGTTTTTGAGGCTATATGAAGCGATACAGTAATTCTGGGAAGATACAGTAAGCTTGGGGTGGTACCGTAATCCTGGAGAGGTACTGTGATCCTGGAAAGATGCAGTAATCCTGGGGAGATACAGTAGTTCTGGGAAGATAAAGTAGTCCTGGGGAGATGCTATGATCCTGGAGAGGTACAGTAATCCTGGGAAGATACCTTAATCCCTGAGGGATACAGTAACTCTGAGAAGATACAGTAAGCTTGGGGAGATTACCGTAATCGTGGATAGATACCGTGTTCCTGAGAAGATACCGTAATCCCCGAGAGATGCAATAACCCTGGGGAGATACAGTAATCCTGAGGAGATCCTGTAATCCTAAGGAGATACAGTAATCCTGAGAAGATACCGTAATCCTAAGGAGATACTGTAACCCCTAGGAGATACAGTAATCCTGGGGATATACCGTAACCCTGGGGAGGTACAGTAATCCTCGAGAGATGCAATAACCCTGGGGAGATACAGTAATCTTTACAGTACCCCAAATACGGTAAGTTAGCCCTTTTGCTTACAGCCACCCCCTGTCCGGTTCAGCTACAGTAATCCAATCCAATAAAGTTAGAAACAAAGTTTTAAGCCTTTAGCTTTATTGATTCCAAGTAGTAGTTTTCAAAAAAAACCCTCGGTTGCAAATATATTCTAACCAAATCGTTTTCTAAAGGATGCTTTGGGGAACGTATCTATATTTCATACTGTAACTTTGCATGGATTACAGTACGCAGCCCAATTACAGTCGATTCTCGATTTAACGATATGCTCGGAATGCTCAGAACGATAGTACTTAGCTTAGCATGGATTAAGGCTTAAAAGGCTAACAGTAAAGAGTACAGTGACTTTCCTGGTAAGGCCACGTTTTTAGAAAATGATTTACGGGGATAGAGTTTATCCAGTTAGCCACCATACCCTAGACTTCTCCAGTTTACAGTACGCAGCCCAATTACAGTCGATTCTCGATTTAACGATTTGCTCGGAACGCTCGGAACGGCTTACTCGGATTTAATGATTCTAAAATGTGCCCTAAATTTCTTGCGCAGCTGCCCCAAACGATTGCGTTCGGCTGGACAGAAACCAAGAGCATATTTTAGAATTTGAGATCGTTTTATTGAGAAAATCGTTGTATCGAGAGTCGACTATACTTCAGATCTTCCCTTATTTACAAAAAAGCGTCCGCCTCGTCATTACTATCAGTTTCATCTCCTCCCGGTCCTCTTTTCCCCCCTCTGCCGCCTCTTTTGAATGTGCTCGTTGTGTGGACGGCTCCGCCTCCTCTCGTGCTCGCCGCCATCTCATCATTGCCCACACTCCGTCCACCTCCACCTATCGCTATTTGTTGCCCTTGATTCCTTTTCTTCTTCGCTTTCTTCAGCATTTGCGCCTGGAAAAATGGGATCAAGCGTTATTTTTTTTTAAAGGTTTTAGTTTCATCTCTTTGCCAAGACTCTCTTTTTCCTGATTTTTGGAATTTTTCGCCTATTTTTGTCTATTTTTGTCTATTTTTCCCTACTGCACTCCAGGATTATTGAAAATTTCAAAAATCAGCGATTAGCTAATGAAATTTCGATCTAAAATCGAGTGAACACGATACAAGGCTCTCTCGTCTCTCTCACGAGTCTAATTTCAAAAATTTCTTGATTTCTAAATGTTCTGGAAGGCATTGACAAAAATTAAACAACTAGCTTAATGCTAAAAGTCGTTTAATTGTCTTCAGCTCTGTGAAATCAGTTTTAACGACGCTATGCTCCAATTTACACATGAAACACCAATTTCTATTAGATTTTCATAGATCCTGGAGTGCACAATCGTTATTAAAACACTCATTTCTCCAAAAAAAAGTGTCTCTGACAAAAAGTGACAAAAAGCAACCTAGGAAACGCAAAAAAAGACCTAAAAGGCACTAGGAGTGGTACGGTAGCCCTTTGCAATATTTGCTACTAATTTCCACCGTAATCTCTAAAGTGATTGACAGGAAAGAGAGTCCCGACACGCAAGCCAGCCAATAAAAAGCCAATCTCAAATTGTGCTGTGAGAAAAAAAGCCGAGCGTTGAAGAGAGATGAATTTTTTTCTTTTAAAGCCCGCGGTAGCTCTTTTTGTAGCCCAGATACCGTAAAAAAGTTAGAAAAGGTTAAAAATTAGCGAAATTGAGGCTTGAACAAGGCCAGTGAAGCTTGTGAAGCTTTTCGAGCTTTTGGAGCGTACTGTTACGTGTTCGTTAGGTTAAAGCTACTGTGAAATTCAAAAATTACGGTATCTTTGCCCACAAAAACCTGTAAATCAGCGGGAAAGCCGTGAAAAAAAAGCGGTCAAAATGGAAGCCGACGACAAAAAAGCGCTTGCACACGGAAAAGTTGAGGTAAACGGTGCTGTTTGTGTGTGAGAAAAAGGGGGATGGTCAATTTTCGAGTTTAGAGTCTGTTTTAGCACTCTACCGTTGTCCTAGTACGTATTTTGGTAGTTTTTTCGTTTTAGAAACTCACCCTTAGCGCTGATTTGAGGATGGTAATCGTGCCGGGTGGCTGAATATGCGGCTCTCCATCGACTTGCACTGGCCACTCCTCGTGAGTCGTGATTCGGATCTGAAAGATTGCTTGGAGTCAAGGGAAAACAGTTTAGGAACTACAGTAAGAACAGAAATTATCTGTAGCTGAATACACGGTAGTTTGGGTCATGTTTTAGAAGCTTGTCGAACATTTGATTCATGCATCGCTCCTTTTGCCCCGCCTCGCCCCTGTGTCTAACTTCGAACTCGAATATCTTGGCTTTAGGCTATCCAATTTTAATATTCTTTGTATCATTAGATTCGCCAAGTCTTTCTCTATCGATTGGTACAAAAATCATATCAATTGAACAGCCTAAAACCAAGAAATTCAAGCTCTAAGTTAGATTGCCAATGGCAGGGGCGGGGCGCGTATAAAAGGTCGGTCGCACCGCCCCTCTTGCTAATTCAACTTTGAGCTCAATTATCTTGGTGTTGGACTGTTCAATTTAAATAGTTTTTGTACCAATCGGCAGAGAAAGACTTGACGCATCTAATGATACAAAAGGATCTTGTGATTGTGGGACATTCGCCCCCTTTGCCATTGTCTAACTTCGAGCTCAAATATCTCGGCTTTGGACTATCCAATTTCAATATTCTTTGTATCATTAGATGCGCCAAGTCTTTCTCTATCGATTGGTACAAAAAACCATTTCAATTGAACAGCCTAAAATCAAGAAATTTGAGTTCTAAGTTAGATTGCCAATGGCAAAGGGGCAGTTGCGAATCAAATGTCCCACAATTGTTTTAGAAAGCTGACTTTTTAGAAACTAGCTCTATTATCAAAGAGCTCAATTCTAAAGAGTGAACCAAACTATGGTATGTCTTACAGTACATAAACATAATCCCTTACTAACTTACAGTAACCCAACAAATCAAGCTGACAGTAGTCTGTTTATTAGTTGTTTATGCGATAGGTTTTATATAGCAGAGACTCTTGTATTCTAGGCGAAGCTCAAATTCTAAAGAGTGGCGTACGAGAGAATGATCCAAACTGGAGCTGATATAAGAATAAAGGTAAATAATGCTAAACGAAGTATGAAGAAAGGAAATACAATCCAAACAAAGCACTTTTGTTTTCCTAGTGATTAATAAGCACTGTAAGTGTCGATTCCGAGTGTTGTTTAGAACTGTAATAGCCTTAAAAAATGGTATTACTGTTTTTCAAAAAATCTGTTGGTGGTGGGACTCGAACCCACCGAGCAGACCGGTCTAGGCTTTGTAGTCCGGCACACTATCCCCTAGGCCACCACTGCTTTTCCTCTCCTCGCTTGTGACGCACTCTTATTGGCTAGAGACGATTTTTGATGCTCGGAACTTTAAATGAACTTCAAAGTCGAAAATGGTCAAAACTTCAAATGCATTTTTCTCGTCAGGATTTTAATTTGGGCAAAAATTGAATAGATATTTGGAATGCGCATATCCGACTGATGTTTATCCGCCTATCCGACGAGCTTATCCTGAAACATCAGCTCCAGTTTGGATCATTCCCTTGTTAGTCCTGCCTCCTATATAACCCTGGAGGCAGGCCTTGAATAGCCCTTCATGAATAACCCTTAGCTTCATTTTAAAACTGACACTTCCGCCCTGTGCAATTCGGATCCCGGCGGCCAGCTTTGACTGAATCAACCCTAATCGAGAAACATCCGAGACACCGACAACCTGAATGAGATGTTGATGGTAAAGAGAACGGTGAATGGTTGTTCTATGTTTGTAAAGTTGTTTTATGTTATTGAATAAGACTATCGTACCTCTAACAATCCATCATAATGCGTGGGTTTCGAGAAATTCTCGTCTTCTTTCGCTGTTCCCCACGGATTCGCTCCGCTTCCCCACGAGAGAAGATTTAACACAATGATTCCTTCAATGTTCGGCAATTCAATGATCTGAAAAAGTTCTAGAATCATTAGCAAGATCAAGATCAGCAAGATCAGTCATAAGTTTAAAGCCTACACTGTTCTGTTTTCTACTCTATTTTCTAAAAGGTGGATAATCTGGGAAACTAGTAATAAAAAGAGTTCGATAGCTTTCAACTCATCTACTCCTCTCTTTACCTTTCCATCGACTTCCAACTCGATCCTTTTCCACAAATCTTTACACGTTCGCTCGAAGAGAGCTTTTTGAAGACCGATTTTCACGTATTGAGTCTTGTTGAAGAGGCGGGATTGAAATTTTTCCGGGTTTGCGTCACGCTAAAGTTTTGTTTTTGTTAGATAAAATCAAACAGCCAATCAAAGTCTCAATTGTAATTCAAATAGCGGAAAGTTTTTGTTGAAAGCTTTTGTTGAAGTTACTTGTTTTCTGCAATGCAAAACAAGAGCAATGAAAGCAATGAAAGCAAAAGCAAAGCAATGAAATTTGTTTTTGAAGTTGGACTTCAATTTTCAGCTCGAATGATTTAAATTGGTCGTAGATTTGATAAAGAAGCTAAAGAAGCGAGCTAAAGAAGCTTTGTTCACCGACCTTGTTATGAAACTTCAGACAAACATCGGCATCGATCCCGATTCCGAAATAGTTATTCATGATGATCATTGATGTTTGATCTTCTGGATTGTTCATCATACCCTCAGCCTCGGCTGAGCCTTCGGGAGTGGGCGCGGTTGGGGGTTGAGTTCTGGAAATTGATCAGATTCATTTGTAAGTTTGAAAATAAGAAAAAAAATAGTTTACTGATGACATAGTAATATTTTGGCCTTATTCTACGGATCTGCTGGTAGCCAAGTTGCCAGTTGTCAGGCCAAGCTGCCAGTTGTCAAGTCAAGCTGCCAGTTGTCAAGCCAAGTTGCCAGTTGTCAAGCCAAGCTTATAAAATGCTCAAAATGAGTCGTTTAGTGCTAGCTTTAATAGTAAAATGCTTAATATTCAGAAGACAGAGTAAATCAGTAAAAAGCTTTTTACTTTTAGACTTTTTAGCTAATTTTAGACTTGTAAACTTTCCGTGTCAGCTCTTTTCCTGAGACATTTGACCCAGTTACCGTAAGCTAAAGCTACCGTAAGCTAAAGCTACCGTAAGGTAAAGCTACCGTAACCCTAGCCCAAATAGTTGACCGTATACAACAACTAATTCAAGATAGATCAAAGCTATTATAGTTGGTCAGATTACGGCAGCTGAAACATTCTTTAGTCTGAGTCAACGTTCAGAAAAAGTTTGCAAGTCAATTTTGGATTGTTCTTGCCCTGATTAAACATTAAACATTATCAAAACTATATATTTTACAAGCCCTATTGTCTTGGCGTAACAGTGTTACCCTTGCAAAACTGAAAACTCAATGAAAAAGCAACTTTTGAGCAAAAGCGAATCCCAACTCACCTCTCCTCCTCGTGAAACACGACAGCCCATCGATCCAGTCTCACTTCATCCGCTTCAATCACATCTTTCAAGATATCCAGAGGGTTTTCTTCTCCCGTATATCCACCACCCCATCTCAGCACTCGAGCCAAGTCATTTCCGGTGCCAAGTGGAACGATTCCGCAAGGAGGCGAGAAACAGGCGGCGTCCTGGAATGGAAAAAGTAATATAATATTAACTGTTACAATCAATCTTACTGTATATTGTTACTCAAAGATAGTCAGTCATCATTTTATCATTTTGCTAATCTGAAATTCGAAGCCAGACTTGTTTAGATGCATTTTTGTTAGTTAAGTTATGGGTTTAGAATCGCAAACTATAACAGAGTTATAGTAGAATTGCTGTAGCGTTCAGTCTTTTGCGCTTAACGGTACTTGATAATGAATTTTTGGTATATTTTGATTCAGCAAATCCAGAACAGCGGATTCAGCAAATCCAGAACCCGAGTAAGTCAACCAATGAGCGAAAAAGATTCCGAAAAGTTCAAATAAAGAGCTTGGCTTTAAATGCCAAGTGCGATTTTGATATTAATGCCCCAATTTATCAACAATTCAATTCTAGATCATTATTTTAGATCTTAAAGATCTTTTCATCGTAAAGTTCCTAAGTCAAACAAAATAGATTCAAATACTTCAAATGCTTTACGTCACTTATCGCCTCTTTCCCTACCTGTTTCGCGATATCCAGACATTGCAACACCCATCCGATCGTCCCATCGCCACCACACGCCAAAATCTTGTACTTTGGAATGTTTCGGAAAACGTAGAGCCTGAAAATTGGATATTGAATCAAAAAAATTTAAAAAGCGCTTACGTTTACGGTTTACGTTACGTGTTAGGTTTACGCTAAAATCCCGTGAATTCTAAAAGTTGCCCCAAGTGACTACGGTAAATTACAAAAAGTAAAAAACGCAATGAACCGAAAAATTTTCATTCTTGCGCCAATTAAATTTTCGGTACTTTGCTGGTTGGGAGGGCACCTATATTTTTGAATACATTCACTTCGATATGCATGTCATATGTATATGTTTTTTAACGTTTGAAGTCTTATAGTTTTAGCGCTGCGTTGTAATGCCCACGGTAGTCCACTTTACATTTTTTTCCTGATACGGTTCTTTAATCCCTTACTAATCTTTCAATTTTCAGGTAGAATGGTAGAACTGTTGAAATCTTTTGAGTCAATTTTAGCTCCTTTTAGATGTAAAACTTTGATTATTGTTGTTTATGCACTAAAGATCATCGCAAGTTTTAGAGAAATCAAAGATTTTATCAAACTTTGGCTAAAAACCCTCATTTGTCCCCACCTTGTTGATTATTTTTGTTCTGTAGGCAACTTTTCTGCCATATATTTACTGATTGTGCTTTTCTAATCTTTCAATTTTCAGGTAGAATGGGCGAGTTTCCATTCGAGATCCTCAATCTACTCAACTTTCCGATGGGCAAACTCTGCTACGATTTGGTTTTGGAAGTAATCGATGAATTGGACGCAAAAGATGTGCCCGAATTGATGAAAGTTGACCTAAGATTTCGATGGATCCTTTTCCAGAACCCAGCACGGATTTTTGGAAAACAAACCTATTCGATTGACATCAAAAAAGAAGGATGACGACGATCTAATGACCTCCTAAATCATTGGGGTCAAGAAATTCATTTCTCCCCACCTTCTTGAATGTTTTTGTTCTGTGCCAACTTATCTGCGATGTGTTTACTGATTGTTTTTTCTAATCTTTCAATTTTCAGGTAGAATGGCCGAGTTTCCATTCGAGCGGCTCAATCTTCTCAAATTCCCGATGGGAAAACTCTGCTACGATCTGGTTTTGGAAGTAATCGATGAATTGGACCCAAAAGATGTGCCCGAATTGATGAAAGTTGACAGAAAATTTCGATGGACTCTTCTCCAGAAAACAGCACGAATTTTTTGGAAAACAAATCCATTCAATTGACGTCAAAAAAGAAGAACATTGGGATGTTGGAGATGGAAGTTGGAATTATACAGCCTGCATCCTTCTTGCCACGAAATTCCCCGAATCAACTCCTCTTTATTTCAATCTCTATTTGGATGTCCTTCTCTTGTCACAGGTTGAACGATGGTCAGTTTTGACCATTTCACAAGTTCACTCTTCCGACATTGATTAAAAGGAACTTTCGGCACTCAAGAAGACTTTCTCCAATTTGAAACAAGTCGACGAGTTGAGTGTGATGATCAAATATGTTCGTTGGAATTGTTTGGGGAATTTTGGAGAATATTTGCTTTGTTTGGAAAATTTTAAAGTCATCGATCGAGCATCATTGAAGGAGCAACAACTTTTGTTGTCTTTGATCAGTGGAAGGCTTCAAAATTGCAAAAGGATCTCATTGAATGTATAAGACATGTGACAAGTCAATATATTGGGGAAGTATAACACCATATCGTTTTTCATTCTGTTCCGGACATTCTTTCTGTTTTCTACTTTCATTCTGTTTTCCAAATTCTTACTAATCTTTCTATTTTCAGGTAGAATGGCCGAATTTTCATTTGCAATGCCGAATCTGATCAACTTTCCGATGGAAAAGCTTTGCTACGATCTGATGTTAGAAGTAATCGAGCAAATGGATCCATTCGATGTTATTCAATTGATGAAAGCTGACGGAAAATTTCGATCGATTCTTCTCAGCGAACCTTGGAGGATTTTCGGGAAACACGTTCATTCGATCGTTTTTTACCCAGTATATATTTTTGAAGTCTACCGCTTTCCAAGTTCAAATCCCGTGATTTTCGATCTCCGCTTTTGCTCAAATTTCTTCAAAAGGATCCGAAGCTGTTCGATTTTGGATTTCTACAAACAGGCGCGACATGACCCTTGTGAAATCGAGTCGCAACTAGCGACCAAACTGTATTCCGCGCTGGAATCGATTGGCGAGATAAGACATCGGTACTTTGAGAGGGATTTGTGGAAAATTTTGAGAAATTATAAGGGACAATTCACCGATCGAATCGATTTGGATCTCTGGATACATTTCCAATGGAAACGATTCGAATTATCATCTTCTCTCAAATCTCATTGGGGATCGGCTCAAGGATTGCAATGAGATCTCTTTTCGAATTTTCATCAGTCAGTTTACAGTTTTTCACAGGCTCCTTTCGCAAACAAACGCTGAGATGATTTTTTTCTATATGAAAGCGGAGTCGACATTTTCTTCTAGTTCGGAAGGGTTGGTGATTCCTTGGATTTTCACGCATGGAATCCCTAGTCAAAATCGAAATGCCGTCATTTTCTTCCGGTTTTCAGGATTATTCTCATCTTTTTCTCTGAACACGTCGCTGCTTCAAAATGATGACGAAGCCAAAAAGATTGTTGATGTGGCGGATAGGACTCTCAAGGAATATTCGAGCACACGCGCATACGGAAGCATGCCAAGCGAACCTTTTACATGCTATCGAAAGAAAATCGATGATGAAAGGGATTGTATCTACATGTTTGGCGGCAAATCTTATTATAGATTTTTTGCAAAATATGTTCCTGCACAGACCGAAAATGAGAAGTGATTTTCACCGGTGATGATTTTAAAGCCATTGTTTTGCTTTGTTGGTTCTTTACAGGTTTTTCTTGATCTATTTGCCTTTTCAATCGAAATTATTTGCAAGCACTAAGCCTCTGTTAATTTTACGTTTTTTTTTCACTGCCGTTTTCATTTGTTTATAAAGAGTTGTCATTGTTTTCAAATAAAAAATGACTTCAGGTTGTAGAAGCAAGGAATTGATTTTAACGCTTAGTTGATGTTAAAGAAACGAATTTTTTAGTGTTTAAATCAACTCACCCAACAAGCGGTCCACCCTTCAACACATCAAACACTTGGAAAGGGTTGAGAAGTTTTCGGAAAGATTTAACCAATTCAGTGCCCTGACATCCACCACTTTTCACATTCACCAAAACGAGTAGTGGCTCCGATTCGGGGGGAAGCATTTTAGGCTGAAATTGGCTTAGATTTGGTTGAATTGTTTGATTCTTAGCAAAAAAGGATTTCCAAAGAGTATTAAACTTGCTTAAATTAAATAAGTAAATGAAAGCAAAAATCAATTTTACTATTTTAGCACGAATCTCAAAGTTTAGCTTGATAAAAGTCAGCTCTTGTACAGTTCTTTTCGATTTTAGATTCAATATCTTCACCCCCCGCTCACCTGTACATTTGGTAGACACAAAACGATGAGCTTCTTGTCCTCATAAACGGCATTCTGTAGTCGATGCACGGCTGCTGAGGCAGCTTTCGGCGTGTTAAAAGTGATGACTAGGGAACCGTACTCGAAATAGATTGGACCGATCGCCGTGAAGGGTTTCTCTGGAAGAACTTGCGAGTATATTAGAAAGAACAGAGAATTTTCCCCCCAATACGCAATAACTTTTCAGTACAAAATTAACTTTATGAATGTTATGAATGAGTAGTCGACTTGAAAATAAGTTAGACTGCATAGAAGTCCAAGAATTTTTGCACAAACCTTTAGCACCAAGCAGCTTGAGCAGAATCCTTTCATATTGTCGTTGAGCAAGTGAAACGGGAAGATTTCCGACGAAAACTGCGTGATCGTGTGGATCTTCTTTCTCTTGAACATAGAAACGAACGACATGGTAGCGACGGAGGGAATCCTGGAGAAGAGGTGAGTTTTTTGTTTCAAAATCAAAATATTGAGATCTAATTGTAAGGGTAACTTGGGGTAGGCTAATTTCCGCAATTTTTTTTTGCGCAACATTCGTCATTTGCGGTTATTTCCGCAACTCGCCATAACTTTATTTTAAGTGGGCCAATTTTTATGATTTTTGTTTCATTTTGTTGCACTTATTGAGATCTACAAAACGAAACCAAAATCATAAAGTTTCGGCCACTTAGAACAAAGTTATGGCGAGTTGCGCAAACGACCCAGTTGCGCAAACGACCCTGTTGCGCAAGAAATTTGGCGCAAAGTAGCCTACCCCGGCAACTTTCAACCCTAACCTAACAAGGGAAAGGTAACGGTAGGATGTGGCAAATGAGATAAGCCATAGACCATTGAATGAATCAAATTCGATCAGATCCGATCACGCTGATTCCGAATCTGCTTTCCGTTTTTGTAAAATGGCTTTCTATAAAAAGCTCTACGTGCTTTAAGTTTTTGCGGTGAAAATGCGGAAATTTAAAGCCAGATAGGGATGCTAAATATTAGATTTAGAGCCAGATAGGGATGCCAAATATTAGATTTAGAGCCAAATAAGGGTTCTCTCACGGATCCCCAAACGTGACTTGATGGATAAGACGGGAGCATGAAGATTGCGCCGCTGTGCAAAAACGAAAATTTGCGCCGAATCGAATTGCCATTTACCAGAGCCTTTGCTTTGTGCGAGTCTGGTATTAAAATGTAGCCCTTCAATTGGGCGACACGATGGTATAAAAAACTTCTAGAAAAACTGCTGTTTAGTACAAGAAAAATGGCCGCAAAGTAGCTTAACGAGTCCGGGCAAAATTTTCAGACAGTCTGCCTCGCTTTTCGATAAAAAATTTTTTTTGGACTCATTAAGCTTATCGAGTCCGGCGAGAGATTGATCGAAATCTAACGAATAGCAAAACAGAAACTAGTCATGTTTAGTATCAAAATGAAGCCTAAAATAAGGGCTTGCGGGGGAACTGGGTTTCATGCTCGACGGAGCTTTTGGTAGTAAAAAAATCGAAGAGCGAGGCAGAGTGTCTGAAAATTTTGCCCGGACTCGTTAAGCAGGTCTAGTCTAATGCTCATCTCATTTGATCTGCCTACTTCAGCTCAATTTCGAGTGTTCAACTATCTAATAGGGTTTAAATAAAGGATTGCTATCATGTTTTCATTTTACTAGAATGTTTGCTGAAGAACTGACCTTTCTCAAGTTCCGCACTAATTGCAGCATGGTCTCTTGTTGATTACACGTGCGCTCGACCACGCCACGCTCAAGCGAGACTTCGATGAGATTGTAACTGGAAATTCGGATGAATATCGGATGAGTATAGAGAAAGATATTCAATTTTTAAAAACCCTACTGATTACAGGTTTAAAATTGTCTTTTGACGATGAAATTGATTGGAGAAATTGGTGCAACTCTGAGAAATCGAATGCCTCATTTCAATTGACGTTGGCTGTCTGATTGGCTAGTGAATTCAAGGAAAACAAGTGCTATTTTTGAAACAAGCAAGTGAAACAAGCATTTTCGTTTTAATTAAACCAATTTTTACCGATTCCACGTTTTTCGATCCAATCCGAAATGGTCGAGCGAATCGGAGATCACATCTTGAACAGTCTCTTTCGTCACTGTCATCGTGCAGAAAGTGACCGGGATTCTAAAAATTTAGAGTATCGGTTTAAAAGAGGACGCTATCGTTGATAGAGTTAAAAATAAATCAAGATCTAAATGCATTTTACGGATAACAGTAAGCCAAATTGCGCTACAGGCCCAACACGCTAGACTTGTAACGAAAAAATCGGTCGGTTCTTTTTTTGCCGCTGGCAATTAAAGATTTTTCATGCTCTTGTCAGCAACAACCCTTTGCTTTTGACTATTTTGGCTATCGTTCGTTGCAGAATAAAATTGCGCGTCGAATGATATCAAAATGAACTCAAAATACAATATCCATGCAAAGTTGTTGGTTAAAGCCTAAACCCCGTCCATTATGGGCGGGACTTAATCCTTTGCCTCATGTCATTTGATGCAGAACAAAATTGCGCGTCGAATGATACCAAAATCAACTCAAAATATAATAACCATCCAAAGTTATGAGGCAAAAGGTTAAGTCCCGCCCATAATGGACGGGGTTTCGGTTTTTAGCCAACAACTTTGCATGGATATTAAATTTTGAGTTGATTTTGGTGTCATTCGATGCGCAATCTTGCATCAAATGACAGTCAAAATAGTCAAAAGTAAAGGGTTGGTGCTGAGAAAAAAATGAAAAACCCTAAATTGCCAACGGCAAAAAAGGATCGACAAATGTTTTCGTTACAAGTCTACTACGAAATATTGGACCTATTCCGATTCAATTTTAAACCATGTGCCTTTCCCCTTGACTTACCGTAACCATCCTCCATATATCTTCACTATTGCCTTATCGGGATCATCTCGATATCGAAGGAAAATTTGCGCACGTCGACCCTCTGGTCGTTTCACGTTCCGCAGCGGAACCGGGTCTTCCAGCGACTCCTCCTCACCGGTCACTAAAAAAGAAATTTCCAAAATAAAATACACATACACAGTGAATAAAGGATTTGTTAAAACTTACAATCATTTGTGACTTGAGTGACATAGTAGTTATCCGGGTTGTCCTGGATGTGAAATCGTCGCAGAGCCGAGTCGCGAATCTGTTGAACGGAAGCCGTTTTGGGGACAGAAGCTGTTCGGAACACTTGATTTCGGAGGGAATTGTTTCCGTCGAATATTCGGAGTACCTGGAAAAGAGTTGAAATGAAAGTTTTGTGGTGAATAGACACTAAAAAGTTACCTAACTCTGAGAGCCTAAAAATTGGAAAAGTATTGCGGGAATCCGTGCGCCTTCATTCTATTTCGCGCCCCAAATCATTTATTGTTTTGTAGCTTGTTAGCTGAATATCTTCTGTTAAAGCCTGTTGGTAAACAGTTGCGCATAAGGCAACTGTTGTTCATTTCTGCTTTCCTTTCATGGTGTGAAAGTTTCGTCGTAATTAGGACGAAATTGTTTCTGTTTTTATCGTCGCTTTTAATTCAATTGTCGATTTTGTGTGAAAATTGCTAAAGTGAGAGCCCAGTCAGTCGGCTATTATCAGTCAGTCAGTTGGCTATTGTCAGTCAGTCAGTCGGCTATTGTCAGTCAGTCAGTCGTCGTCCGAGTCAGTCGGCTATTGAATAAAGTGTTTTAGTTCAAGTGAGATCAGTCATCTCGAAGCAAGAAATGTCTTGAGTAAAGAGTACCAAGCACGTAAAGAATATTTCTTTACAAGTTTAACTAAGTTTAACTTAGTTTTTAAAGATTAATCCATTGCATTGTTCAATCAGCAACCAGAATAGTTAATAAACAACGAAAGGGTGATTATTTGATTGCTAATCAATATATAATGATAATCAAAAGAAAATAGGTGATTATTTGATTACTTACTGACTACTTACTTAAAAGTAAATTCTCATAAAGAAGAATTTTAAACTTTAAATTTTGCGGTTTATAAATCTAGGGACAACTTTTGGAAAAGTAGCTGGGAAATGTGTAATTTATTCCAAAAGTGGCAAGTGTTATATAGAGCCTTGTAGCCCGCAATCTTGGCTACATTTTGATATTAAATGTTTCCCGATTGGAGTTATACAACTCATTTTACAAGCTCTTGAATGAGCTCAAACTCTCTCCGGTGATATACCATTTTTGAGAACTCCCAAGCGCCAATATTTATTATCAAAATGTCAAATGTTATATAGGGAATTGTAGCCCGTAATCTTGGCTACATTTTTCTACCAAAAACTTCCTGATTAGCGTTATGCAACTCATTTTACAAGCGCTTGAATGAGCGCTAGTCGGAACCTCACCAGCGAATTTGTCATGTCGCCGCTTTTCTACATTTTCGACTAAGGATTTTCACTAGCGCAGCTCAAGCCGGGGAAATGACAAATTTAAATGATAAGGCATAGTTTCTGGATTTACTAAAGCCTAAGATTAGATTTTGTTACATCAAATCGACCGTTAGAGACTCGACGAACAAAATTAAGGAAAACTAAGGCGAGAAATAGATTGTAAGCAGCGAAATGAGAAAGAAAGTGTTGTTTATGTTTTATAGGAAATTTTGTTTGTATGAGTATTTAGTTATTTAACTGAACGGGTGTACTATCAGGATCAGTTTGTACAAGTCGTGGCGTACTAGTCACCGATAAAGTCATCTTTTCTTTCGGATTCCGTTTACTATACGAGATTTTATGCTCTAAAACCTATTAGAAAAAGAGCTAACAGTTTCTATGTACTTTCTGATATCGAATCTTCTCCCCCTCACTCACCTCATAATCCTCTTTTTCTTTCGTTTCATCTCCTCCCGATGAGACATCGTCGGCGGTGATCTTGCACGGTGAAGAGACTGAAAGTGTCTTGTTTTAAAAAAAACAACTTCAACATTCAACTAAAATTCAATCTATAAAGGTATAGATCTAATCTTTGGGCAAAAACAGACAAATCACTACTATCGGAGCTTCATGCGATAATTACGGATTACGGTAGTGCAAAAGATTGTGGGACATTCGCCACCTTTGCCATTGGCTAACTTTGAGCTCAAATTTCTTGGTTTTAGGCTGTTCAATTGAAATAGTTCTTGTACCAATCGATAGAGAAAGACTTGACGCATCCAATGATACAAAGAATATTGAAATTAGATAGCCCAAAGCCAAGATATTTGAGCTCAAAGTTAGACAATGGCAAAAGGGGCGGGGGCGCGTATCAAATGTCCGATAACCAGTGAAAAATGTGGGTCTTTTAAGTCATGGGAAAGCTACCGTAAGTCAAATCGGTTTGTAGAATAATTCTAACGAAACTTAGCATTCAATTTCTAAACAATGACAAGAGTTACCGGGCTACTGTAGTTAGATCTAGGACTATATCAGGATAGACTACGGTTTCAGGACGGATTACGGTAGCCGGGTCAATCTCTGGGTTACTGTAACTGTGCCATAGTTTAACAAGGGTCTGGATTACGGTAACTAGGTCATTAGCTTAGCGTAGACTCTGAGGATTACGGTAATTGTGGTGTAGGCTACTGTAAGTCGAATAAACTATACTGTAAGATTTAGGCCTATTACTGTATTCGGTTTCAGGATTAGCTTCAGGACTAGTTTTAGGATTAGCTTTAGGATTAGTTTCAGGATTAGCTTCAGGACTAGCTTCAGGATTCAGTTCCCAGCTTTCAATTCAGGTTTCAGGAGTAGCTGGATCACCGCTTAGCTAATTACTGTAATCAACTTACTGTAAAAAGTCCCTAGCGCTTATAATTAGATCTCATTTTCATCTAGGATTCTCAAAAAAGACTCAATCTCAATGAATGAATCTACAAAATCATAGATAAATGTGGTAGAAGGATGGGTAAGACCAGTGACCCTTACGGGCGGCCGTTTGCTCGGAAGCCGTGATATTCAGGAGTTTTTCCATCGGGAGCTCGTTTCGTGGGATCGTTAACGAGTTCGGCGGAAGCATGATCTTTTGCAGGAGACCCAAATCGCACATTTCGTGCATTTGGCGGTAGCAGAGCGCGTGCGCCTGGAAATTTGTGAATTATAATCGTTTTTAAAGGAAGATCACACAAAAATAGTAATCCGGATCTAATGGAAGTAATCTCCGGGCCTAGTATTGCTATTTTCTTTTAGCTATTCCGTAAGCCTGTGACGACAAGTCACCAAAAAGCCGCAATCTAATAGGACACCAGAAATATCGTACTCTAGAAAATTTCGTGCGTATATAAGGACGCCTCTTTTCTTATTTAGTCAGAATTTTCGTGAAAGTTGGTTTCTTTTGTTCGGGATACAAACAGAACTTTTATTAAAGTGATTCAAGGCTAAATTAGTTTTGATAAACTCTAAGCTATTCTATTCTAAGATAAGATAAGTTTTGGTAACTCTTTAGCTTGATTTAGGCACCTAGTCGAACCACTGAATTGCGCAAATGCTGAACAATAATCTTTGTACAAGTGCTTGAAAAGTAATGACAAAGATCAGCTTTCTAGCTTTGTTTTTAGTCCTCAAGTTCTCCGTTTAGTGCTGTCAAGTAGACTAAGAGATTTTGCTAGTCAAGAGTAGACAAGAGAAGACAAGAGAAGACAAGAGAAGTTCAAGTCTCACCGTTTGCCCACACCACTCGCATCGCATCCCCGCTAGGCACTCGCTCGAGGAGCAAACCTGAAAAATGGCACTTGGTTTCACACTGCATCCATCGACTATATAAAATGGAAGTGTCTGTCTGTCTGTCCGTCCGTCTATACTCGCGATTTCTCGGCTCCTCGTGGGCCGATTTATATGATTTTTAGTTTGCTAGACTTAGAATTCTATATAGTTGTGCAGCTGGTATTTCGTTTTTTTAAAAAAGTAAAGTCACAACACAACTAGGAGTCGAACCCGGCTCATGTGGGCTGTAGCCAGGCGCACTGCCGACTGCGCCACGGCGACAAGAAATTCTCCTCAAAAGATTCAGGCAAAACCCTTCGTAGCGAGTTTTTGTTTTCTTCTAATTTTGACTGGTAAGCAAGTCTATTAACAAATTACTGGAGCCAGTCTATTAACAAATTACAAACAAATTAGCTATGGCCACAGTAGCTATGGCCGACTGGCTAAAAGCCTTGTTTCTTAGTTGAGAGGTCAAGGGTTCATTCCCGCTCTGATTCTTTTTTTGGGTTTTGTTCTTCCTTACATTTAGGGCTTACGGGCTTTTGTATTGTATTGTTTTTGCCATATTATTCATGTGAATAAATGTATTTATATTATTCTAGTCACAAACCTTTTTGCAGACGACACATTTGCTGTCTCGGGGCAGATTCCCTTCTCGCATGTGATGGTACTGGGCTTGGGCTGCCTGAAAAAAAGGAGTCAAGTGTTTTACAGTCTTTTTGGCGGCTCTGCCAAGTCTTACAAGTTTTACAAGCGCCTCTTGATGCACTTGCTCAATTGCACAATTCTATAATTTCTTTGCAAGGTTTTTCTTCCATTCAGCCAAAATCATACTCGTAGTGTACTTTGAGCCGAATTGGCGCCAAAGCCTTCACTTTCTAGCGAATTCTCGCTATTGGGTTGGGGAGAATGAGTCGGCGCCAAACTTTAAAGGGACTTTTTGCACACATAAAGCCTTCTTTAAACATACGTTTGGTTTCATCAAAAGGATCCACTATTTCTCTACAAAATCACTTTTGAGAGATTCCACAAAGCTTTTCTTTCGTGGAGTTTATGAACTTCCAAACGCAGCTGGTTAAAATGGCAAAGAGTCCGACTCATCATTTGAACAGTTTCTTTCACATAAACCTTCTTTGGTGTTTATATAAAAAAAGATAGAGCACATTCAATTACTTAAGTTGCCAAATTTGCAGGAAGATCCCACCAATGGTTTTTTCTAGATCACAGTTTGTAGTTTTTGTGAAAAAATGGCTTTTCTTGAGCGGAGGCGCTGTTTGAATTTTCTTTTAAATGTGATTTTGTAGAGAATTAGTTAACCATTCTACTCATATCAAACGCATATTATTTGACGAAGTCGAATAGAAGTTTTACACGTTTTTTTGATTTTCGGCGCCGACTCATTCTCCCCAACCCAATAGTTTTAGTCGATAGTTTATAGTGCGTATGTCTAGATTAGGCTACAAGCCCTAATAGCGTCGGCAAATAAGAAAAGCGTCGGCAAATAAGGAAAGCGTCGGCAAATAAGGAAAGCTTTTAAGAGACATTAATACTTTTACTAGACTAATTTGACTAGACTAGACTAACAAATCCAAGAAGACTCAAGTTCAAGATTTGAATTATTGAAGGAGAAACATGGGGAATATTCCCTAAAGCGAAAAATTGGAATATAATCGTAATCAAATTTTCCACTTTGCATAATTTCGTATCGAGCAGCTTTTTTGATAAATCGGGTTGGTGAATTGAAAACTGCCGGACTTTGAACTAAAATTTATTGAAAATAAAACCATGAATTCATTCCAAATCATTTCCATTATTATTGACGACTTCTGCCCATTTTACAGGTAATTTGCGGATTCCTCTTTCGTGGTAGGATCTCCCCAACCCAATATTATTGCAAGAAAATCGAGAGCTCAAACTACATTTAGCCAATCCCTTATCTAAATCTTAATGCTTTTTCACTTTACTTTTAAAGAAGAAGAAGATTTTTCACGAAATTTGAGGGATATGAGTCGAAAAAAAGGGGATTGCAAGGAAAAATTGAGCGTCAAAGACTCGAGAAAGGAAAAAGTGACGTCATTTAGGGAGAAGACATCACTTTTTTTTGAGGGAAAAGGACACAAAATCGGATTTGTTTTGTGTGGAATTCGTTTCCTCTTGAGAATTTGCTGAAAATCTTGTGAGTGTTGAAGAAAAAAAAAGCTTGTTTTGCACTTGCAACAATGGTTTAGATTGGATTTTTGATCTTATGACTTCTGAACAATTTGGTACCCATTTAATGATTGATTTGGCATCAGATTACAGGAAAATTTCAATTTTGATCCTCTAGTCTTCTCGTAAATTAGTTCCCTTTCCGAATTTGCATTTAGCTTGCCTCGCAAAGAAAGTTTTCAGTTTGAATCGCATAAAATGAGATATTTTAAGCATGTAAAACCTGAATTTGATGTTTTCTAGGATAAAATCCTACGTAGATTTCAGAAAAAACAAGTTTCAATGTCGGTTTACTATATGAAAACCGCTTAAAAGGTGGAAACGGCAAAACAAAAACGGTTTTCCGCTTTTTTAAAAATCAACCCTTCAAATACATTCATAAAAACGCTTTAAAAGCTAATTTTTTAGCTTAATTTCATTTTTTCCTGATTCACAACACATTCAGCTTTCGATTGAGCCATAAGACGTAAATTTTGGATTTAAAAGAGAGCGATAGGAGCCAGTTGAAAAAGAAGACGCTTCTCGCGCTGCTAACTCAATTTTTCCTGGTCAGAACTTTAGAACTTTGCTATTTTTCATCTTTCTATTTTCTGTAGAGCTCTGTAGTTATCCAGAGTAGCGTAGCAAGTTATCTAGAAAAAGCTCGGGTACTCAATCTTTACTCGGGCCTAGGTGCAGTCCTAGTTTACGAAAGTCCTAGTCACAAGCCAGCACTAGATCTGGTCCTGTTTGCAGGCTCTAGGAAATCTCAGAGTTCTTCTTCATCGGCGGACAGTCGACTCTCGATATAACGACTCTCGATCTAACGATTTTCGATGTAACAATTCCATTTCACGGTCCCGACAGAATCGTTAGATCGAGCCTGTACTTACAATTAGTTCCAGTTCCAGTTCTAGTTCTGCTACATTAGATAACATTGAAATCTATGATTGAAATCTATGATTTATCTATCTATTGAAATTTCAAATGTTTTCATTCTCGAAAAACCCCTTGTAACAATTGTTGAGAATTCCTCTTGCTGCTTCCCCTCCTCTCCCTCCTTCCAATTAGCCACACTAAGCCCCTTCCCCCATCCGTTGTCCCCTTTTCTTTAAAGACTAAGTCCGTTTGGTTCTTTTTCTCAATTTGACTTTTTCAATTTTTTTCACTTTCACACATAGCATCACATGGGATCACAAAGAGTCTCTGGAAAAAAAAGAAAATTCTCTTTTGACACAATGGACAAAGAAGTTGGGATCATTTTTGGGATAGAAGATGGATAATGAACTTTTCTGGTGAGAAATTTGAATGAAAGAGTTGTAGAGTTAAAAAATGGGGAACTTTAAGAAAAGTACTTGACTATTTAGGACACAGGTTACTGAGTTTAAGCTAGAAAAAGAACAAGAACAGCTAGAAGAAAGCCAGCTCCAGAAGCCAGTTCCAGAAGCCAGCTCCAGAAGCCAGCTCCAGAAGCCAGCTCCAGAAGCCAGCTCCAGAAAGCTAGCCCTTTGGAAGAAGCTGGGCTGAATCGTGCTCATTGTACGGTACTTTGTAGATGATGTTTTCTTGTACTGTACGGTACTTTGTACATGCTATATTCTTGTAACCGACCTTATCAAGACTGGGCACATATGTTGCCGCCTCTTTGCAATCGGAGACCGCTAAATCATGGCAATCGACGTGCACGTAGTACTCGCAGACTGAAAATTCACTATCGATTGAGTTATTGGAAAAGTTTAGTGCTTCGGTAAACCAGTTCAAGAGTACGGTGCCTTAGCTCTAAGGCTTCAGGGGTTACGGTAGCCTAGATTTTAGTGTACGATCTAGGATCTAGCCAGTATAGGAGCACCTAGTCGAGAATTAAGGTAGCGGCATTGTCAGGCTCGGGGTTACGGTAGCATCGGTTTTGGGGGTGCTTTCTGAGACTGAAACAAGTCTGATACTTGAGTAACTTAGCGGTAGGCTTAAGTCGAATCGGTAAAGCTTGGTAGCTACCTTTGCTACCAAGCTTTACCTAGCTTAGGATTGGGTTACGGTAGCCGGTTACGATGGCCATTTTGCTAAGTCTAGGGACTACGGTGGCCCTTTTGCCAAGTTTAGGGACTATGGTGGCTCTACTCGGGGCTCTACCCGGGATTGCTCCTTTGATTTCACTTGGGATTAGCTCAATAGTAGCTAGAGTAGCTCAATCTAGGGCTACGGGGACAGTGGCTCGAGTTGCCAAGCAGGGTGATTGGCCAGAAGTAAGTACTTAGTTTGTCATTGAAAAAGATATTCACTTACCCTCACACTCGATACTCGTCGAATCCTCGGTCCTCTTGCGACAAACGTTGCAGAATTTGCGCTTAATATGCCCGGGTTCGCTCCACATGTGAGCGACGGGGTTCTAGGAAAAGTAATATTGAAAAATGATTGGTAACTGTGACTTTTTGCGCGCAATTCACTATCTTTAGATACAGAACGATCTAGACATGGAAAAATTCCAAGCCAAGCCTAATTCCATCTTCGTTTTCTCGGCCGTTTCTTGGCTGATTGCTCTGAGATTTTGTCTACAGATAGAAATCGTCCTTTTGAGCTTGTAGAGAAAATTTCAGAGGAATCGGTTAAGAAACGGCCGAGAAAACGAAGATGGAATTAGGCTTGGCTTGGAATTTTTCCATGTCTGGTAATTAACACAGTTTAGTCTATTTTATGCAAGATTTTGGAGCTTAAAAGTTTTACAAGACTGCTTAAAAGTCTACTTAGCCTTTGTTGTAGTGATTCGATGTTTAAAATGAATATCTAAACATTAAAAGAAACCTTTATAAGCTGCAGAGCCACTCCACTGCAATAGGAGACCACCGTTTTCATGCATTTCTCGTGACAGACGAAATTGCACACTGAAAACGTTTTTATGATTGAATTTTTAACAGAACTGAGTCTCAACTATGAGCTTTATTTGAGATTTGAGCTTTATTTGAGATTTATTTGAGATTTATTTGAGATTTGAGCTTTATTTGAGACAACAATGAGATTTGTATCAAAGCTGATAAAGGAATTTGAGCTAAGATAAAGGAAACATTGAGTTATTTGAGAGGTTTACCTTCACAAACGTATCCTTGGGTGAGCATTCCCCAGATTTTCTCGCAACAATGATGACAATAAGTGGGCTTGGTGAAGGTTTTTCTGAAAAAGAAATGAATTCATTTAAATTCAAATACAGTGAACATGGGAAAATTTCAAGTTCAACCAAATTTCACCTCCGTTTTCTCAGTTTTCTTCGCCGATTCTTCGGAGATTTTGTTTACAAATTAAGGATTTGATTCCTTTTCTGTATAGATTTGGTTCCTTTTCTCTACCGATTTTAGTTCCTTTTCTCTACAGATTTTAGCTCCTTTTCTCTACATATTTGGTTCCATTGCTCTATAGATTTGGTTCCTTTCCATAGGAATTTGGTTCCTCTGCTTTTGTTTACAAACAGAAATAGTTATTCTCTGCTGGTAGACAAAATTTTAGACCTAAAAAAAATAGCAATTGGTTAAGGCTGAGAAAGCTGAGAAAACTTGGCGCTTGGGGGTTCTCAAAAATGGTATATTACCGGAGAGAGTTTGAGCTCATTCAAGCGCTTGTAAAATGAGTTATATAACTCCAATCGGGAAGTTTTTAATACCAAAATGTAGCCAAGATTGCGGGCCACAACTATCGATATAACACTTGTCACTTTTAAAAACTGCCCAAATGTAGAAAAGCGGCGAAATTACAAATTCGCCGGTGAGATTTCGACTAGCGCTCATTCAAGCACTTGTAAAATGAGTTGTATAACTCCAATCGGGAAACTTTTTATACCAAAATTTAGCCAAGATTAAGGGCTTTATATTTCTATTTAACACTTAAGATTTTGATAATAAGTCAGGCGTTTGGCAATTCTTTTAGAAAAAAAGATGTCGTTATAAATCGGCATAATATTTTCAAGTCTTAAAAGCACAAGATTTACCTATTTTATTTGTCATGATTTCGTTTTTTTTGAATAATGTAATTGCTAAACACCTAGGATAATAAAAAAAATGTCTTAATCCAAAGTAGATCCGAAAAAACCTTGGTTTAAGTCTACACATGTTCAAGTCGAACTTTGCGCTCAGCTTTTGTAAACGCAGCGCTTCTGGAGCACTGAAAATCAGAGCAATCAGAGCAGGATATGCTCAGAAATACGATATCAGTAGTACTATACTTTGCCGTAATCTCAATTCATTCACAAACTTCTGAAAGTAATGTCCATGATCTCTTCCCAGTTCGAGCAGAGTCCCGTCCACATTGTGGCCTTCTGCCGCCATTTCTGGAAAAATTTTAGTGAATTTATGATTTTCTAAAATGTCAGCTTTGTAAAAATGCATGAAATTTATCCATTTCATTGCAGTTTTTCTTCGGAAAAGCTCGGATTTAAAGTTTGCAGCAGTTTGCAGCAGTTTGCAGCAGTTTGCAGCAGTTTGCAGCAGCTTGCAGCAGTTTGCAGCAGTTTGCAGCAGTTTGCAGCAGCTTGCAGCAGTTTGCAGCAATTTGCAGCAATTGTTGAGTCAATTTGCCGATCGCCGATCATTTTGCCGATCGCTTTAAGTAAAACTGACTATTTTGAAGTCCTAGTTCCAACTAGTTTCGATTGAAATTTGAAAAAAATTGTTTTGAAACTCTTTTCAACTTCTATCTGACAAGTGGAATGCAAAATTTGAGCATAAATTAAAATTTGAATACCGTAAAAACTCTAATAAAAGAGCTCCACTATAGGAGCGTCGTTGGTCGAAGTTTACTCTCAAACAAACACTCGCATCTTGACACTAGTGCGTTTCTTTTTGTGCTCTTTGGTATCAAATTAAAGTAGAGAAAATGGCTGATATTTTGAGCTATAACACATCTATTTAGCATTAACCAGTGCTTAGAAAAAGATGATTGAAAACTGGTAAAAAAAGTCGATATTTCATCATTTTCCCTTAATCGAAAATCGACTTTTTTTGCCATTTTACAATCATTTGGTAAAATTTGCATAACAAAGTCACATCTATCTTTTTAAAGCTTTAGTTTCTTTAGCTTTATGTCTATTGGATATTACGTAGTCGCCTAGTTTTTCACCTGTATTCCGGGCTACCGCTCTATGCTCATTTTGGGGCGATGATTGCAACGAGGATGTGGCGAAACGGAGACAACCCTGAGAATTGAAGAAATTAATGCGGAAATGGGGAAAATGATTGATAAAATCAAAAGAAAAACAATCTGGTTAAGTAAATCGTTAAGGGAAATGGTTGTTTTTATTGATATGAAATTTATAAAAAGAGATTTGGACATGGAAAATGGTTAAAATTGTTTCAAAATGGTTCAAAATGGTTTAAAATTGGTCGAAAATCGTTTAAATTGGTCCAAAATCGTTTAAAATAGTTCAAAATGATTTAAAATAGTTCAAAATGATTCAAAATAGTTCAAAATGATTCAAAATGGTTTAAAATGGTCACCAAAGTCAGTAAAAAAATGAATTTTGGCAAGATTTTCTTTTTCTTCTTTCTTCTCTTCTTTCTCTGCAGAAATTTTAATTCTGTGATTTTTTTTAGGCTAACTTTGACTCTAAAGAGTAGATCCTCTCGAGTAATTACTTGAATAAATTCTCGTAAGAAATCTTTTTTAGCAAGTCAAGTATAACTCAAGTATTAGTATTCTCAAAACGGCTTTTTTCAATTGTTCAGCCAGTTTTATTACTTTTTTATGCTTTTGAAAGCTAATAACTGTAGTAACTGTTAACTAAAACTCTCTAACTCGATCTAGCAAAGAAACAAAATTTTTATGAAAAAGAGCAAGAAATTTGGCTCGAGTCGGGCTCGAAATTGTCAACTAACGGCTGTTCGCTTTAGAGAAAAGCATGCAAGCTACTGCAAGCCGTTAGATTACAAGGCTGGTTTAGAAAGAAGCTTGAAAGGATTACTTGAAAGGAAGACACTCTATAAAGACCTTTTTGTCACTTCTACAAGTTTTACTTCAAATCTACATATTTAAAAGCTCAGCTACGACTAGGCTAAGGGTAAGCTATAGCTAAGGCCTGGCTAGGCTAGGCTAGGCTATGGTTAAGGCCAGGCTAGACTGGAGTTAAGGCTAAGGGTAGGCTATGGTTAAGGCCAGGCTAGGGTAGGCTAGAGCTAAGGCTAGGGTAGGCTAGGCTAGGCTAGGGTTAAGGCTAGACTAAGCTAGGCTAAGGCTAAGCTAGGCTAAGGCTAAGCTAGGCTAGAGCTAAGATAGCTTCGCCATTGTTTAGAAAACCGAATCTAGTTTTGAGCAAGATCTAGAGATCTAGATCAAGTCATAAACGAAACTAGAGTTCATAGATAAAACAGAAAACTTTCAAAACCAAAGAAGTCTTGGGGAAAACGAGAACAAAAAGAGGCAAAAAAAAAAGAAAAAACGGGAAAAGCTATCTAGGGACCCTGGTAGGGTGAAGAGGCCAAAAAGGGAAAAAGAAAAGGGAAAAGAAAGAGAATAAATGGAAACTGGGAAGGGGTATCTATTTTTGGGATCCTAGATGAAGAATATCGAAAAGACGGGAAAGGGGAAAGAAGAAGAGGAGAAGAGGAGGATGATACAATTTCTCTTAGCCTGTGGAGGGGGAGCTTCAGGACGGGACTCGGGACGTGCCTAAGGGCAACCCTTCTATAGAATGAGTCGGACTGTTTGTGGGCACTGTTGGCTTGGTTTTGATTGGTTCTAGAGTGGCCAGAATTGAGCCTAATTGATTTTTAGATTATCCGGGCTCATGGCTAGTTCGGGAGCCCAGGAGTCCAGCTCGGCACGTGTTTACAAGGTAATCATCCAAACTTGACGTTCGGAAAGGCTTTGAGCCTATGTGGATCTTATAGAGTCAATCACGGAGATCATGAATCTTTAAAAAATCATTTGCCAAAGACTCTGGAAACGCGAGCTATTCGGCTTTAAAGTTTTAAGAGCTGGGAGAATGAAATGACGCCGAAAATGAAAGAAATTTCTAAAACTGAATCATCTAAACTTTAAAACTAAACTCTAAACTTCTAAACTTCTAGCAGACTTCGTCAAATGATAAACAATAGAATAGAAACAATAATAGAATAAAGAAACGAGAGGACTCAAAGAAAAATCTAACTTAAACTTAAGATTTGTAGAGATTAGGGATCCAGATTGGTTAAAGTATGACCAATCTTCAAGTCATAAACGGCCAGAATTAAGCCTAAAGCTCCAGCTTTGTTTCAGCTTTGGTTTAGTCCAAAGACCATTTCTACAAGATTCTTGGCTCAAGAAGACAGCTCAAGAAGGCAGCTCAAGAAGGCAGCTCAAGAAGGCAGCTCAAGAAGGCAGCTCAAGAAGCTCAAGAAGGCAAATCACAATGAAAAGGCATAAATAGTAGATTAGGCACAAAGTCATTCTTGTGATCAGCTTTCAGAGGCAAACGAGCTATCACTCTTTTGCTGTGTCCCAGAAAATGCGTCATTCAGTCGATGGGACGTGTCCTCTAGGCCGGGACTCTTTCTTTCCCCTTTCCTAGGCAAATTTCTTTGCCTTTTCCCCATTTGCCCGTTTCTTTTCTCTCTTTTCCCCTTGCAAATGCCCTATTTTCCCATTTCCCGTGTCTATTTTTAGCCCTCACCCCAGTCCCATATTTGATAATCGTCCTCTCTTTGAACCAAGCAGAAAAAAGAAAAAAAAACAGAAAGAAGATTGCCAATTTTTTGGTGTCTTTTTTCTTTTTAAGACTAGACTGGACACGTGAGAATGATCTTGGAGAAGAAATGGTTGAAGGAAAAAGATTAGGAGTACATGAAATGACTTAAGTTCAAGAATTTGAGACTGTTTGGGATCTGAACTCTATCCGTCTTTAAAATCTTAAGACATAATAGATAAGATTATTAAACATTGCTGATTCTGATCTTCAGGTCTTGTCCACAATGCAAGATATAGCACAATATAGCTTTGATGTCTACTTTACTTTATTATGTGACTGGGATGAAGATCTGGGTTTGGTCTAGCTTGAATTGGGCTGACTTAATTCAGCTTGCCAGGCTGATCAGCTAATTCAGCTGATCAAGCCGGTCTTGATCTGACCAAATTAGCCTAGATTAGCATAGCCAAATTAAGATAGCCAGACTGGCCTAGTTTAGCATAGCCAAATTAGCATAATCTGGTTTGTTTTGAAGCTTTAGTCCTAGTCCGGACCGTGGTTTGGTTGACCTGAGGCTATTAGCTTTACCTAGTTACAACTGATCTGTTCTGACCAGGGAATCGGACTAGGGAATGATTGATCACCGCTTCTTAAAGTCTATAGACACTTAAAAATTGGTTTTAGTGCTTAACAAAAAGGCAAAAAATGTCTTGACAGCAAGGGGATTCGAACCAGGGATCTGCAGCGCCGCAGACGGGAGCACTATCCACTACACAATCCATCAACCGTTCGGGTGAAAATAATTCAGCTAGATAGCTAGATGGCGGCATCGTTTTTCTCCAAACTTCAAAAGTCTTTTTCTCGAAAACTGAAGTAAAATGGGGTAAAATCTTTAAAAAAATATTGATTTAAAACCACGTATTCCTTAGAATTTCAAGGTGGGGTTTCTGCGCTAGATCCCATCCCAATTCAATGCTAATTTGGAGCAGTTCGTGAAGTTTTCGACCTGAATCTGTACGAGCGATGAGCCAATAACCTGAGGATTACTTGGCCCACTACAAAAGAAAATTCAGTGGATAATTCCACATTAAAAAGTGCTCCCGAAGGATCTACTGCAGTAGCCGCTATAAATTTGTTTTTGAAAATAAGAAAACCCGATTCTCACATCATTTCATCGCCAATTTCCCCTAATCGATTCTAAATCATCAAAAATAAAAGTTAAGCCCAAAATCCAAAGATCTAGTGAGTACAATTGTTCAAAACACCAAACACAACAAAGATTTTGCTATTTTATAGCTATTTTTCTAAAAAAAACCTTTCTATTATCGACTTTTGGCGAGTTCCGCGGGGAGAGCATTGATCAAAGCATATAATAAAAATCAACAACAGCTTCCGATTTCCAAAAATAGTATAGCCGCTAGTTGGAGCGCAGCTTAGACTTTGAGAGTAATAGCTTTGGCTAGTAAAGGAGATTTAGAGTTCGAGAAAATATTTCAGTAACGGTGTGAAATAGAGCAGTATTTCGTGAACTTTTGAGTGATCTGGATAGCACTAGAGCTTTTTTAGGCAAAATTTTAGTTCACGGGAATACCTCGTCGTTGGCAATGGATTCAGAGGCGGATCTCTGCCGCCTTCCAGCCTGGAAGTCACTTAGTTCGCCTTATCGACGAT